TTTCATGTTCCCTAGAACTCATATATTAGTATAACTAACTTAAACTAAAGATAATATTACCATTTTCTTTACAATTAATTATAAAGGCTTGTAGTTGACAAAAATATATTCTATGATTTAAAAAAATTGCCACATACGCATTTTCCTAGCTTATTTATAGTATAGTTCAAATATTTCTATTAATCTTCATAAAAATGAAATTAATATGATACAATTAAGTTTATTATATAAATTATAATTATTTGTAAGTAATTTTGTATTATTTTGTACTTTTTTTCCCGTTCAATTTATTTTGGCTTCTATTAAATAAGAATGAAACTTGCAATATTTTAAATTTTGAAAATAATTCTGCTTCCATCTAGTGGTTGAAAACTAAATATAAGTGTTCTTTGTTAGGTGTAGTTATGCAATAGATTATACAGCTAATACTACAAATTATGCTATTATCTACAAATATAACAATCAAAAGAGATTTATATCAATTATTATTAATAGAAATCTATTAACCTTTCTGCATAAATTTGAAAAAAATAGATTAAAATAAACAAAATATTTACAAATTATTTAATAACAAAAAAAATAATTAACAATACAGTCCCAAAAATATTATATTTTATTAAAGAAATTATCAATTTTTGTAACAAGTTAGAGCTTTTAGATTTTTTGTAAGTCCGGGAGTTCGTAAGTTAGAGGATACTTGTATTCTTTTAGATTTAGTGAACATACGTATTACATTAGTAATAATTTTTATTACCTAAAATACATGTAGGAACGAAAATATAATGATTTTTAAGAATTTTAACACATTCACTTCACCATCCATGATGATAGATGTACTATAAAATAAATTTCGAAAAATGTTCCTGTGCAATAGCTTTTTTCTTCCAGTGATTGCGTTATAATCTCCACCAGCTATGAATCTAGGTCCGAGTGTATTGAAGAAATCTTCGAATTGATCTTTAGTAATCCTATGTTTCGGTGGACAATAAACAGCAGATACAGCAATTTCTCCGCTCCAATCATCGATTATAATACTTGTATCCTGCAGGTGTTCACTTGTATAATTTGGAATATCGTGATGTTTCAGAGAGTCATTAATTAATACTGCAGTACCTCCGTGTGCAGTTTCGTCGGAGTATCGCTTCATGGCTCATTGAGCTCTGATCAAAGTGTAGTTTCGTCCGAGTGATTTGTTTTGTATAATTTATATTTTGGAAAAGACACATAGCTTCTGTTCGCAAGGTGGGTTTCTGAGATTAATATTATATCAATTTTATTAATCTATAAAAATATGTTTAACGCATGTTACAAGTTCATTTATGTTGTTGATGTCCGGTACTATAAATGGCGGTGGTTTTATTTCTGTTTTGGTTTTCTCACTTTGTATCACAGTCACAGACTTTTTGTTTTTGTTCTATGACGTTATGTTTTAACCTGTCCTGATATGTCACGTTCTGTGCTGGTGAGTTTTTTACGACAAAACAGTTGATAACACGGGTTGAAGAAGATTTTTGATCCGAAATCAGTTAAAGTTGGAACTATTCGGACTATTTCAAATTTTTACTTCGCGATCATAAAACTTTGATAATATTCCAATGAGAAAATTTCCTCTGCTTGATTCTCCGTTGTTCGAGCAATGGAAAATTAGTAACTGATATTCGATAACTTTGAATGACATTTTAAGACAAGATATAGATATTATTGATAACTTTGTTACAATAAAGTTTATTAGAATATGCAAGGAAGCATAATCAAGATCATACACGAGAAAACGTGGACCATCCATGAGGAAGAAGTATGTGGACAACACTAGAAAGGTAATTTATTAATTAATCAATCATATGGATCATCTTTGAGAATTGTCTTGACGTAAATAAAAACATATTTTTTATTTATATATTTTTTTATATATTACGTTTTATATATACGTCGTGTACTTGCGTTGTTTATATATTTTTTTAAATGTTGACATGGAAAAAATCTAGATTCGTTTTAGTAGCAGCATTTCCTATCTGTCAAAGATTTTCGCCTAGCGACCAATGAATTAACTATCAACTGAAGATTTCCTGCTTTCAGGAGTGTTTGTTTCAATAGATGGGAGATTTTTTTCCACTAGAGCTGCGCTAATGGTAAGTGTTATGTCATCAACTTGTGAAAAACTGCATTTAATTTGCTAATATATTCAATTTTCCATAGTTAACAACTATTTTACAACTTTAGGAAATCTTAATAACACCTGTATCGAAAAATCGCATTTCAATTGGATTACCATAGATTGTATACTACTTTTTATTAAATATTATCTAAAAATACTCAATCATCTCACCAATGTTACAAAATTAAGTATAATTTAAAGTTATTTATCAAACTATTATAATTTACAAAATGATAATCTTCAGGATTATTTTAAGTAATTGTTGTGTCTAAATTTATTGTAAACTACAGCCTTGCATATTCAACATACAAATTTGTAATTGCCTAAACTGGTCAACATTTAAGAATGGCAATTTATCGGAGTAGACTTATCATTAGATAGCATGTAATTGTTGCTGTCAATCATTTTATATATTGTTAATTGTTTATTTTTAGGCTAAATTCAGGTCCGAAAATGACACCTTCGGTGAACTTCAAGTACCAGTCGAGAAATATTATGGCGCGCAAACTGTTCGCTGCACCATGAATTTTCCAATTGGTGGTGACTACGAAAGGATGCCTGTAAGTTATAGCAGTATTGTATTTGAATGTTGTTGTTGTAATTAAGTATTGTGTTTTAGTACCCGGTTATTACTGCAATGGGTACACTAAAGAAGGCTGCCGCTTTGGTAAATAAGGATTACGGTTTAGATCCGAAAATTGCTGATGCCATTTCGAAAGCCGCCGATGAGGTGATCAGCGGCAAATTATACGATGATCATTTCCCATTGGTAATTTGGCAAACCGGTTCCGGTACTCAATCTAACATGAATACCAATGAGGTAATATCAAATCGCGCAATTGAGATCATGGGAGGTGTATTGGGATCCAAGACCCCTGTCCACCCCAATGACCATGTCAACAAATCACAAAGCAGCAACGACACTTTTCCAACTGCGATGCACATTGCCGTCGCACAAGAAATCCATCACACCCTCTTGCCAAGCATGAAGATGTTGAGGGATAGTTTGGACTGCAAATCTCAGGAATTTAAAAAAATCATCAAAATTGGAAGAACCCACACTCAAGATGCCGTCCCTCTAACTTTGGGCCAAGAATTCAGCGGATACGTGCAACAGATGTCTTTCGGCATTTGCAGGATCGAAGACACCCTTCCAAGGTTGTATATGCTGGCGCTGGGAGGTACCGCCGTTGGAACTGGACTGAATACCAGGAAGGGATTCGCCGAAAAATGCGCTGCTAAAATTTCTGAACTCACCGGATTACCGTTTGTGACGGCTCCCAACAAATTCGAAGCACTTGCCGCTCATGATGCTTTGGTGGAAGTTTCTGGAGCGCTCAACACCGTTGCTTGCTCAATTATGAAATTTGCCAATGACATCAGGTAGAATATTTACTTGTAAAAATATGATAACAATCATCTGATGAAAATGTATTTTAGGTTTTTGGCTTCCGGACCAAGATGCGGATTAGGAGAATTGTCTCTCCCTGAAAACGAACCCGGTAGCTCCATCATGCCTGGTAAAGTGAACCCAACTCAATGTGAAGCCATCACAATGGTGGCTGCCCAGGTTATGGGTAACCATGTTGCTGTGTCTGTGGGTGGTTCAAATGGACACTTCGAACTTAACGTATTCAAACCAATGATGGTTGCCAATGTACTCAGGTCTATTAGGTTGTTGGGCGACAGCTGCAAATGCTTTACAATAAACTGCATTAATGGTATTGTTGCTAACACCGATAAGATTGACAAGATCCTCCACGAAAGTCTTATGTTGGTTACGGCTCTGAACCCACATATTGGCTATGATAAAGCCGCGGCAATTGCTAAGACCGCCCATAAAGAAGGAACAACCCTTAAGGAAGCCGCACTTAAGTCAGGTCATCTCACTGAACAACAATTCAATGATTGGGTGAAACCCGAAGACATGCTGGGACCTAAGTAAAATAGTATTCGTTTTTGTTGAAACATTTTAATTAAGTTAAAAAATCTCTAGCAGCAATAGTAATCTAGATCAGCGTTTATCAAAATATTTGGTCCGCAACCCCCTTTTGCATTCATACCCGAATAATTCAATTTTCTTGGACCCCCAAAATTGTTCGACGACCCCCACTTTGAGAATCACTGATCTAGACCCCAGATTATAAATTTTAAGTTCTAAATTAAGACATTTAAATTAAAATGTAAATGAATAATTTAAATTTAGTTTTCTAATGTTTGTTACTCTGATTAACTTATTGATAAATTTTATTAGATGTTGGCAACAACTACTGACCAGGGGGACTTCACAGGATCCGGCAAAATTGAATATATTTGTTTTTACGACAAAATAGTTGGTATAACGCTGGTTGTGTTTTAGGAGAGAAGATTGTTATGCGAAATTTTTAGTTATACATTTCTTAATTATTTATAAATTATTATGTTGATTTCGTTTAAGTGTTTATATGCTTTATTCGTTTGTTTCTACTACATATTTATTTACACTTTTATGTTAAATATGACACTAACTGGCTACATACATCGTAAAGGGTGAGGTAAGTTGCATACTTCCACTCGATTATAGAGTAATATCAGAAGATATTAGATTATATCAGAAGAGATCAAAAAACTTTTTTTAGAAGTTCCTATCTGTTGTCTTTTTTTGTCCATTTCTATCGCCTGACAACCAATAAATTAACTAGCAACTAAAGATTATTGTAAACTGTAACTTATAGATATGCCCCTGAGATGGAGCTGATTTCGCAGAGTTCTATTTTACCATTAAAAAAGTAAACAGTTGTAAATATAACAATACAAAAAAAAATGAAAAGAGCGCTAAACAATAAGAAATAGATGATAAGGATGGATATAAAGAGTCATAAATAATTTAATTTTTTTGTAATTATTCGCGTGTTCAGGAATTTTACATTTCTGCAGTTCGCCTTTGTGTATCAATTGGATTACACATTAAACTTAACAGATAGTTCTATGTAAATTGTATTTACTTTATTGATAGATTTGTTTAATAATGAATCCAGTACAACCTATGGGCCGTGGGGCCCTTATCTTGCAAACTTTAAGAAGATTAGATGAGAATAGGGCTGGAGTGAGTACAGAGTCAAGTGAGGAACCCCCAAAGCCTCGGGGTAGAGCAGCATTGTTACAAAAGTTGAGGTGCTTAAATGTTGGTAGTTTGGGACCTGTAACTTCCTCAACAGTAAGCCAAGAAGTAGTTTTAGAGCATGAAACTGAACCTGATAATAGTTTACAAACAGCAAGTATTGTAGAAAAATTTGATGCAGTCACACCAGTTACTTCTTACAAAGGTATAATTTAAATTATGTCATTCAAATAATTACTAGAATTTGTTATTTTTTCAGGGTCTGTTGGAAAATCAATTAATATCTCTGCAAATTATATAAGGTTGACAATTGATCAAGACAAAGGTGCATATGAATATGACTGCACCTTTGAACCAGATGTTGATTCAAAGCATGCAAGGATTAAAATAATTAATGCAAATATTGCAGCTTTGGGAGGTGTTAAAATGTTTGATGGCAGCCGTATTCTGTATTTACCTATAAAAATGAAAAACATTAAAACTGTGTTTACAAGCCCGCATCCACTCAGTGGTGAAATGATTACATTATCAATTATTTATAAGAAAACATTAAGAATTGGTCAGTGCATTCAGATGTTCAATGTGCTATTCAAACGAGTGATGTCAGCATTAAAGTTGAGTAGAATTGGGAGAAATTATTATGACACTCCAAGTTCCAAGCTAATTCCCCAACATAGACTAGAAATTTTGCCTGGTTATGCAATTGCAGTTGATGAATATGAAGGTGGTCTAATGGTGTGTTTGGATACTCAGCATAGAGTTTTAAGAACGATTACAGTCCTGGAACATATGAGAGACATACAAAGAGAAAATAGAGAAGGATTCAGGGAAGCACTGAAGAAATCGTTATTGGGTTCTGTAGTTATAACGAAGTACAATAACAGAACCTACGTTATCGATGACATATTGTGGGATCTTAATCCGCAAGGGAAATTTAAGAATTCCCAGGGTAATGACATTTCTTTCGTTGAATATTACGCTAAGCAGCATGGACTACATGTCACAGATTTGAACCAGCCGCTCCTTCTCAATGTTAAGAAGCGGAAGGTTAACATGAAGGATGAACTCATTGATATGAATATTTGTTTAATACCAGAGTTCTGCAATTTGACTGGCCTAACAGATTTCATGCGTTCGGATTTTAATGTAATTATTAATGTTTTTTTCATATTGCCGATTCAAAATCACGATGTTGCAGGTAATGAAAGATGTTGCTGCTTATACTAGAATAACTGCACACCAACGGATGGCGGCTCTGCGAAAATACTTGAACAATATTAAAAGTTGTCCAGAAGCGGTTAAAATTTTAGGTGATTGGGGTTTAACATTGGCCGATGGAACAATCGACCTTAATGCTCGCTTACTGCCGCCGCAGATGATAATGTTCGGTAATAACCAACCGTACCAATGCGATTTTAAAGCTGATTGGAGTGGAGCGCTGTCTAAGAATAAGGTTGTTGGGCCAATAGATTTATACGATTGGGTCATAATTTATACACAGCGCGATGCAAAGTTCGTAATCATCTTCAATTACATTGTACCCATTAATATTACTCATTATTTTAGGGTGGCCCAAGAATTTGCTACAAATATGTGTCGTTTGGGTAGTAATATTGGATGCAATATTACTACTCCAAAGTTGTATTCTATCCCGAACGATCGCACAAATAATTACATACAAGCTATAACAAAATTGTACAATGACAATGTTCAAGTAAGTTTTACTTTCGGAAATGTCTTTTTATGTTTAATATATCTAATATATAATATTAACGTATTATTAAAGAGTATTAATAAATGTAAGAAAGATTCCAATGCAAATTATTATGTTTATTTTCAATATATTCATTTAAATTAATATAATTTATTAATCTGTATATATCATTATCAAGTTATGAACTATTTATTAGATTTAAATATTCTTTCAGTGTATGGTTTTTATATGTCCTACGGCACGTGACGACTTGTACAGTTCGATTAAGAAGATGACACTATGCCAGAAGCCTGTCGCTAGCCAAGTAATTTTGTCAAAGAATTTGAATAACATAAAGAAAGTGCGTACCGTCACTTTGAAAATTGCTTTACAAATTAATTGCAAATTGGGTGGATCGCTTTGGAGTGTAAAAATACCTGTCACGTAAGTACAAAGTGGTTAAAATAAAAGTAAAGTGCTTGTTGTTTAGAAAGAAAGCAATGATATTACTGAATGTATAACTATTATCATGTTGAATGCATTTCAGGTATTACTTATATATTTATGTGTAGATTTGTTTATGTAGAAGATAATGATGACTGATTATGTTTTAATTTAAAATTAAATTATCAGGATTCTGCAAGCTTAGATGGAGTAATGTAATTAATTAGTGGATTGATTATTTATTTTTGTGATTGTTGAAACCAGAGAATAATCTGATATTTTTAGGTCTTGGATGGTATGCGGAATCGATACGTACCATTCTGCGGGTAGCAAGGTATCCGTAGGTGCTTTAGTGTCAAGCACGAATTCGATATTTACATCGTATTATACGACTTGCATAAGACAGGAGAAGGAACTTTCGGATGCGCTGAAAGTGCCTTTCGCACGATCACTGCTAATGTATCGACAACGTACTGGAATCTACCCGACCCAAATAATTATTTACAGGGACGGCGTCGGGGATGGTCAATTTGATCACGTGAAGAGATACGAGTTGTCGCAGTACCTCAAAGCTCTGGACGACCTAAAGATAACTGAAACCAAGCTCTGCTTGATTGTGGTTCAAAAAAGGTTGAACACGAGATTAATTTCTAATGATTCGGTGGGAAATCCTCCTTCCGGGACAATCGTTGACGAATGTATTATAAGCAAGAATAATAGTGACTTTTATCTAGTTCCGCAAAATGTTAACCAGGGGACCGCAACTCCTTGCCATTATACCGTCCTCTACGACGATGCGAAATTGAAACCTGATCATGTACAAATGTTAACGTATAAGCTTTGTCATATGTACTACAATTGGTCTGGAACCATAAAAGTACCTGCACCTTGTCAGTATGCTCACAAAGCCGCTTGGCTTATCGGGCAATACTTGGGTAAGGACCCGAACGAAGTACTCAATGATAAATTGTATTACTTGTAAATTTTCTTCGAAATCTTACGACCTACCAAATACTATATAAGGCATTCACATTTACGTTACGTTTTTATAAGTATTGTTTTGTTTTTCTTGTTCCATTATTATGATATAGTTTATTTGTATTACTTATTTTTATACATTTACGAACAAATATATATTTTATAAAATACGAAAACTATATTCACTAATAAAATACCTCTCCCTCTAAAATCTATATAAAAAAGTTAATTTCATATTATATAAAAATAATTTACAATTACATTTAGTATGTATTCTCTGTTCGCTCTCATTCTATATTTTCATAAACTTTTAAATTTAAAGTTAGTTCTTTGAAAAGTACGTTTATGATTATTTTTTAAACTATACTTTATTAATAACGGTTCTAGTAAATAATAATGAGATAAATTATACAATGTTAATAAAAGTAGATTTATTCAAATTAATTAGTAGAATAGTGAAATATAATTTTAAGTTTATGGGAAAATTAAATTTATTTTTAATACTTATAATATCAAATTAGATAACGTCCTGAATATTTTCTAGATATATTGTCGCCCTCGGAATCACTGTCATCAACACCGAACGTAGCTACGAGCGTCTTCCTAACTCTATCTTGAGCCATTTTCCGCATCCTTGCATAAATTTCCGGGTACTTCTCAATTTGTTTCAAAAAATCTTTCCTATGCAGTATGAACACTTCGCAGCAATCTATTGCGACAACGCTGGCAACTCTCTGTTCGTTTTCCATGATGATGGCGATCTCTCCGAAATTCGCTCCATCGGATAGATGGCAAATCTGCAAAAAAATCAATTTAAATACATACATCCATTCAGTAGGAAACAAACAAACCTCTTTCCCGGTGGAAGTATAAACGGCGACCGTTCCAGAAGCAATAAAATACATCGAATCTCCTACCGTTCCAGCGGAAACAATGACATCGGATGGTAAATATATCTCCTGCTTCATATTATAAATAATCTTGCAGATGATAGCCATCGGGATGTCATCAAAGATGTTCACCTTCTCCAAAAGATTCATGTAAGTGTGCACAAGCATTTCCTGTCTTAACTGTGGCGATAGTATCTTCAAAATTTCATCCTCCTTGTAATAGCTTTGCTGGAAGCGAAAATCGAAATAGCTCATAATCCTCGCCCGGATGTTATCAGGCAAATTCTTGTAGCGCATAAACTCCTCCAGCTGCTGCGTCAACTGATAATACTTATTCCCAGACAAACTATGCTTAGTGACTATTTGCAATATTTGAGCTTAAAAAGATTTTTAGAATAGAGAATACTTATTAGATATTCATCTTACCGACGACTACTAGCTGCAGTGTAAAACCGATGGTTAAAATAAAAATTTCAAGAATAACTGTAGGTAAATGTTGGGTAGTTCCTGGAGATCCAAACAAGAGAAGCATATAGACGATTCTCTCCGAATTCCTCAATATGTAATATGGCGACAGTTCATGGAGATTCCCCGAGTTCGGCATTTGATTTACCATGTGTATCAAACTCATGCACCATATGAATATTAGTATAAACATTATAATTAACTTAAACATTTTGAATTTGTAAATGCTCCATTGATTGTACTGAAAACCATGACATTACAAGCATTTAATATTGCAATTAGATTGGATTTAAGGTGATTTACATCGCGCAGTCGTTCGATGTATTGCAGAATTGTGAATATTCTCAGCAACTTTAAATAACTCAAGTAATAGGAGATGTTGTGTAAAGTCAATCCTTTCTTAAATATATCTGTATTGTGCTCTTGGAATAGATGCACCAAATCAGTGTTGAAGGATGAAACTAGATCGAGCAGGAACCAAGTTAGCACATATTTCCTAAAATTCATGTTATTTTCTAAAAACACTTTTATTTTGAGTTTTTACTTAGCCACGCCAGTTCTAGACAAAATGATTTTAGTCGTGATTATATTCTGATATCCAGTATTGAAAGTTACGATGATATCAACGTAACATATTATATCCAATATCAATTTGATGGCATGAAAAACTTTATATGGAAATACTACGCCTAGAGGTATAGTGAACAGCAGAAGTGTTAATACATTTAACATCAACAATTCCCACGCGACCCTGGGTCGCAAATAGAAGTTTACAATAATATGTATAACATATATAGTTAATATTTGTTCACCTGAAATTACTGAACGGATGTATCATGTAGTAGTAATATTTCAAATGTCTCCTCTTCTCCTTCTTGATAACGTACGCTGACTTTAGAAAAGTTTTGCTTCTGCCATTTGCGTCGGAAAGCATCAGCTGCCTTCTAACTCTTCTTCGAAACGGTACGCACAAACCGGAATTGATATAGCTGTAATTAAGTATTAATAATGTGCATTTTATTGTCGATAACAATTACTTAACGACGATGTCTTCTTCTTGAATCAGCTCGCATTCATGTCGCATCTCACTCCTCAACTTATCTTCCTTCGAAAACATCTTGAGGCGATTATCGTTATAGGTCTAATTGTCAGACTTAAAATATATTTTTAAACATAATAATTCATTTATTTGTTTCATGGATATTCAGATTACAACGTAATCATATTAATATTATAAACCAGATTATCAACCTAGAAATAACCAATTAAGTAGTAGTATTGTAATTATTATTGTCGACGATAATTGAATTTTGGATTTTGATGAAATTTTATGTTGTCTGATTATATGCATCTGGTAAGAACACATTTAACCCTTTCCAGCCCAATGATTCCAAATGGAATCATTAATTCTAAATTAAATTTTGTCTTTCGACGATTAAAACTGTTGGCATCAACTAATGTGAATTGAAGCTAGATGTATTTTTAACAGTAGGAAATGCTGTATAATGAAAACAATCAGGGAAGATGCTTTTTATGGTTAAAGAAGTGCTTTTATAAGGTATTGCATAAAAAAAATGAACAGGAAAGGGTTAATCAAAAAGAAAAATAATCGTTAATAAATGGAAAACAATTTTTTTGTAGTAACGGTTAAAATATTGCCTTAAACCTTTAATTTTCTTTCTTCTTTCATTAAATATAAATTAAAAGTATGCTGCAATTGAGTATAACTTATGACATTGAATACGTACAAAATATTGATTTATTGTCCTTTTTGAGGTAGAATGTTTTCCTTGTTCTCGGATACTGAATCTTTAGTTCCAAATTCTATATATCATTTATAATTGAAATACAGAAAGTAACAGACTGGTAAAACAGAAAAATAATCAAGTAAATTAATTAAGGGCAAGTAAAGGAACTATTAACATTTCAAAGCAAATATTTATGGTTTTTATAATTATTTTATTTATTATTAATAAACAGATTTGACCCAACTATCAATAAAGATAGATTTCTTTATTACAAAATATAAACAGATAGTTATTTAATAGGTGGATCTGTACAAAACAAGCAAAACCAATGTTAGAAAAGTATTTGATTATACCAGGAAAAATGGTGCAATTTCGTAATTTCAACTGGAAAAAAATAACCAAAATTCTTAATATTATAGTTTTTTTTTTGTGTGCTGATTGGCTTTAAACAAACTCTCCATTTATTTTTTAAGTTCTATATTTTTTTAAATCATATTGGGATTTTGTCCTTATACATTTCAGATCTAGTATTAGGAGCAGACAAGTTTGAAATACACTCAAACCTGTTATTGCACGGATAATTTTTCCACGATTTGAAAATAACACGTTTTTCTTAAATGAGGTATTCTAATTAAAGGTGAAATTGATCCTTCAGATGAACCTGTTGCTAACAGTTTTTTGCCACAACTTGCAAATTTTATTTCTGACAAGTTGCAAAAGCTAGGTTTTTTTAAATTAATGATACATTTTTTTCTTCTAACTTTTCATATATGTTTATATATTTTTACACTTTTCTTTTCCACAAATCCTGCAACAACCAATCGTAGTTTGATTGTTTTCTATATTTTCCTTATATTTAACATATATTCAGAATATCTTATGGCGCAATATATAATTAATAATAAATATAGTTTTGATTTTCTTTTGTTATGTATTATGTAGCATACAATAGAAAAAACAACAATTATTTACATGGTCATGCGGAAAGTGGTGTTCACTGTTATCAAGTAAGTATGCATAGTATGGCAGATGTTGAAAATATGCTGGAATTTGAAAAACTCAGAAATTCTGATCGAACAATATGTTTATCAGCTTTCTGTTATTCCGAAAATGATATCGGCAAAGTATAAATACAGTAGGAATATCCGAACGTTCTGTAGTGTAGCCATTCAGTCGTGGAATCATGAAGGGGATAATATCTTTCGGCTTGCTTTGCCTATTCTTCGTCTGCAGCGTCAACAGTACGGGTAAATAAAATTATTTTCTTTTAAAATAGTTAGAAAAAAGTAATAATGAAATCATATTGTTGTTTGTTGATTAGGCAGCATTGCAAAGAACCATCTGCACAGTGTGAGCCGCGCCGCAGAACAATGCACCGTGCAATGCAAATCGGCACCTGGTAATGTATAATTTAATGCTATTATATAAACAATACTAACACAGCAATTTCGAATGCAGACAACAATCCTGATAGCAAGAACTGGTTAGTGGAAATCGATGTTGACATCTACCTTGTGTACAACAGCGACCAAAACTATTTTGGTATCTACAATGCCAAACTTCAGATAGTCATTGTATTTGAATTCAGTTCAAGTATTATGGTTATGGTTAACGTCAAAACTGGTGGAGCTATCTTAATAAACGTCAAAACGCAATTGGCACTCTTCATTAAGGGTACAGGAGCCATTCAATTCGGTTCTGACATTTATGCCGGTTTTGAAATTATCTTCAAAATTATTGCTGACAACAAAGCTAAGGTTCAAGGAGAACACGACAAGAATACAGGATATTATTTCGATATTTCAATTGTATTTTCGGGCCAATTGGATGTTGCCTTTAAGGGTAGAGGAGATCTTTCTGCAGCAATTAAGGCAGATTTTACTGTAATCTTCAATACTATTCAAATTTTGATACAAAAGCAAGTGGTTAGTGTTGAAATCGGTATAGCAATACTACTTGCACCAGCTATTGGTTTGAACGAAGGATCAAGTGATTTTATTAGCGGAATATTTGTTTTAATAACATTTACGGTTACATACCAAAACATAACCGTCGATTTCATGGAAGTTTTTGTTCAAGTAATAATCAAAGCCGATGTGAAAGTAATAGTGTTACTTGTGCAAAATATTAAAGGTATTGGCATTTTTTACGTTGATTTAAGTGCAGCTTTAGAGGGTTACAATAATAAAATTCAAATATACATCAGTAGAACAAGTACGAAAGTCAATGGTCAAATCTTTACCATCACTACATACACTTTAGGCAATTCGTGGAGCATAGTAGTTGGAAATGGAAATGGCCAAGTTGTGATTATGTACAGAGAAAAATATAATGTTTTTGCTATTTACAATCAAAGAGCAAATTTGTTCTTCGTCTATTTCGGATCCACTTCACAACTCGCATTATTCTCGACTAAAAATGGAGCTGGCCTCTTGTTAAAGTGGGGATTAGGTGGATTTGGTGGATTTGCTGCAACATATATTAAACGATCGAATGAAGTTGTTAAATATTTCAAAACTGGAACTATCAACTATGAAGCTTTACTGGAATTTTTACAAATATATGTGGCAAGTGTCAAGCCAAATGGTCCATTTGGAGATTTTAAATTAACAGAGTTAATAGTTAATATTGGCAATAATAGATCTTTGGAGAGACAATTTGCTTCTAATCCTGATCTTCTTGCTGAATTGAGAGTTGATTTTGATGTTATATTTATTTCTGTACAAAATGCACCTACTATGAACCGACATAATAATTTCTGTTTTATTGAGCTTATATTTGGAGAATATAATATTTCGGTAATCGGTGGCTTCCAAGGAACAATTCAATTTTTCTTTATCTCAAATGGCGGTAAATTCCAAGGAAAATTCATGAATTGCATATTTAACGAAATGCTTAATGGCATTACGAATGCTATTAAGAATGCTGTCAATGCATTTGTTAAATCAATTATTGCATTATTGACGAAACTTTTAAATCCTATTGCTAAAACGCCTACTATTACTGTTCCAGACTTAAGTGTGACAGCCCAATTAAAAGTTTTTGGCAGTGTTCAGCTAGTGAATAGGTCATAAATAGCGAAATGAAAATTCTATGATTGTTTATAAAATGTATATTATCTATTGCACATAATAAATTAAGGCATATTCAAATATTATTTCATTTGTTTCAATTAATGCACCCTTTTTCAGAATAAAATACGAATTCATATCTTTATTGTATGCAATATTTCAGCAGGTAAGAATAATTACAAAAGTTTCACATTATTAAAATGTTAAAACAATACACATTGAATAAATTAATTAATTAATTAATACAACGTTTTTCTGTTATTTTTTTTTCATAACCATTATTATGTTGTCAATTTGTAACCTCCTACCATGTGTTATGGAAACTTTCAGCTAAATATTAATAAGAAGACCAACCAGTTTTGTATTTCTTTTTCATGAATCGTACTGTTGTTATTGATGACAATTTTCCGTATTTATTTTGCTTAAAAATTAGTTCTTTACCTTAATATTGATACGTTTACACATTGGAATGAATTTGTAAATAAAATTTATTAGAAAGTTTTGTAAGCTGTAAACTTTTAATTATTGAAATATATCTCAAAATAATGGATTTGTTTCTCAAAGGTAAACAATCTATATAAATACAGCCATACCTCTTATAGTTTGGGTAATCGGTTTTACCAATATTCTGGACTTTTTGAAACCGGACTAATCGAGTGCTTTCAAACCGTTTAAAAATAAACTGCAATATGTTAAAAATAATAAAGTGCACTAATTTTTTAGAATTGATTCAATTAAAATTTAGTTTGTTTTGAAATTTTATAAACGGAATTATAGTAAATCCAGATTAATAGACGCACTATGCGAGGTATTGCTATATTATGATTTCTAAATAATGTTTGTTTATCTCCGTCAACATTTCTACATTTGATGAATAAAATTACTATTCGGATTAAGTCCAACAACGCTAGTAGTTGTAAACGAGAATCGTGAACAGTAAAATTGAGCTCTAAGTTACGTGTAAGCAATGGTAGTAGAATAAAAGAGAACCTTACCTAGAAGCGAGGATAAGTATTCAGAAGATTCAGAACTCCCACAATAGCCGCTGTCACACGCACAAGAGTTCAATTAAATCTAATCTTGTGCAGCGTCCAGCAGCTGCAGTGAGATTCAAAATGTTCGGTTATGTATTGAAAATCAAAGAAAGTAAATAAATAACCAACCAACCGGAGAAGAAGATGGAAATACATATATGGAAAAACAAAGAGAAAGAACAAAGTAAGTATCAGAACAGGTAGTTAGTTTTCCATATCCATCTGGCAGAATGATCGCTAAATAATGTACGCTGCAATATGGGTCACGATTGATAGTTTTACTATCCATCGTTCTCACCATAATTATAACTTTTCTCCATGGGAAACACAGATGTGCCTCGTAAATTATTAAAGCCCGTGCAGTACGTGTATATCCATCCGGCCGCACAAAACGGGGCACGCAAACTCTATTTAGTTATTAATTTAACTCGCCTCTTTAACTACGAGGCAAAAAAGAACAATAACAATAAATAATTTAATGATAAAAAATATACACAATATAAATTTGTTTGGAAATATCTCATATTCTCTCAAATAACATGTGCAAACTTTGGTTGAATAATTGTATATTGTTTATGTTTACCGTCATACTTCCCTTCAGAAATTGATGGAAGCGATACTTACTCGACGCTTGTGAAGCACACCGAACACTGATCAAAGAAAGTAAAAGAATGATGCACTCTAAAGGTAAAAGTTATCACCGGAAGAAGAACTACAAAGCTCGTACCAAAGACACCCACCATTGGACTGAGACAATTGACAAATGGGACTCACCTTTATATAGAAAGCCGCTGAAACTTCCCCCACCCGATCTGAAATGTGCATCTATATGTGTGTGTGTATGTACGTAACAAACCGTATTGATGAATTGGAAAATTAATTGGATTTATTACATCCCCAATAGCTGCAAAGATATATATTATAAGGTTGAATAATGCTCTGTCTGTTGTTCAAAGAATGCACATATCTCGAGGATCATCATCTGGTCACACAAAATTTACTTACAATTAAAAAAATAATAATAACATTGTGCGTTGCATCATTAAAGGAAACCTAGAAAATTTGTTTTCTTAAAAAAAAAATCAGGATTTTCCCGGTTTTAGCATTTATGGTTTCTCAACTGAAAACATACATTGTTTTAACACCAATTAGAACGAATTCTCTGCTTAACGTTACTCAGTTTAGCCTTTATTATAATTCAATTAGTTATTCGTATCATTTCACAAAATACTTAATCAAAGAATTTATTGATGGTAGAATATTTACTTTTATACTAATATACTAATTTTATTATAAGATGACACTATGTTAAACAACCAAATACGTAACAATTTTGGTTAAATAGAATTTTTCAGCTGCAGAAGAATCAGTTTTAATACATATTTTTAATACTACAGTGAAACTTCGCTTAACGTTAAACTCCGTTCTAAAATTTCCAGATTTTTACTCGTATAGTGAAACATGTTCAAAATACACATAATATTTGTAAACAAGTAGATTATGTAGCAGGTCCGGGACTTCTCTTCTCATCGTCACTCGTTATGCGAAACGTCACTCGTTAAGCGAGTCATTTTTCTTACAATTCATTTTGTTCGTTAAGCGAAAGGCTCGTTATGCGAGGTGCTCGTTAAGCGAGGTTCCACTGTATATTCATAATAACACACACAAAATTGAATAAATTATAATTTTTTTCTTTATATTGAAATTGTTAAACGTTAAATTACTTTATTATTATTACTTTAAGTATTAAGTATTAATTGTTAAGTAATTTATTTTACTTTAAAAAAAATACAAAAACTCAGTTTTTTTTCTATTATTTATTACTCCTATTTTTTCTGCCACCCGCCATTAGTTAACAATAATTCATACAAACTTACATTGTATCAATTATTTTTATTAAGCATTAAATTACTTCGTTTTTCTTTGTAATATATGAAATAAACATCTATTTTGAATACATAAATACCTCGCATAGTGTGGATTCAATCAGTCCGGTTTCATAAAAGTTAATAGAAAATTTCATAAAATTAATACACTATTTAGCTCGAGTAGTATAAATTATATTTTTGCTTCAGAACGCCATTTTTTTTGTATGATTTTTTTTATTACAATTTATATTTTATTGTGTCTCTGGGCGGAAAGACTTAGGTTTTTTATTATTATTATATTTTTGTGTATATCATAGTTTTTTTCCCTTCAGTTTTCAACAAACTTGATAAATTAATATTTAGCATTTATCTATATAATATTAAGATAGGTTCTTCTGGAAGAACTGAACAATCACAATCACACATCTGTATATTTTCTTTTGAAATATTTAATTTTGTGATCATTTCATATTATTATATACAAATATAACTTAAATTCAAATATTTAACATTTCTTTACTCTGGTTTCCCTCCGAAGCGAATAAATCTTTCGCCTAATAATAAATGCATATTATTTGACCATTTATATATTTTTTGAATGAATACAAAAATGTATTTTATGATATAAATTGAAGTTATAAATTAATTAGACTCTTGAGTCAATTGATATAATAAATTTAAGTTTTATTAATTTTTTGTTTTGTTACATCAATCTGCATAATATAGTGCGATATTGTATAATTGGTCCGTTATATAATGCATGAAGTGAACGGTGCATTGAGAATTCGTGAATATTTTATAGTATTGATTAAATTGCTGGATGCTTTGCGGTTCCATTGTTTTCTTGTCTCACTTGTTTTAGTGTTTTGGATTAGTAATGATTTACATTATGCCTGAACGAGGTTGAAAGGATGCTATTGTGGGAGCGGGGGTGGAATTGTTGTGCTCGAGACGAGGGGCATGTTCGAAATGTTTTATTGAAACCCCCAATACACCTAACGCACATATATACATTTGTATTGAAACTAATTATGTAATTTCCCACCCCGTCCGACGTTTGCAGACACATGGTAATCTTACACGCGATACTCGAACGCTCGTATTACCTTCCATCGATGGTAATAAAAAATGCTTCTATTTTTTTGTTTGTTAATATCTTCTCTTGTTTTTTTTTTCATATAGTTCTTTTCGAACTGGGAAGTTGGGTCGAAAAGGAATTAAAAACCCGGAAGTAGTGATTGCTGTGTGTTAGGTAAGGATGTTCGTTGGGTGGTTGGGCGATGGGAATCATTAGGAATGCCGCTGATAGGATTACAGAGAGAAACCCTTCAAGAGGGTCACGCGAAACATAGGAATCCACCCCTCGTGGATCGGCATAGGTGGGACGGCAGCGACAGTGGCGTCTCCTTGGATCTTGGGATCAGAGAATCGGTTTCGAGCCAGCACCGTGTGATGTGCAGTATGTTATGCGGCCAGTCTAGAACCCGTCACAGGCAGAAATTAGTATTAAATATGCACAACTTCTGACCCGTGGCTTGGCTCGACTGGCTGCGCACAATTTGCATTTCACATCCAATTTCTGCGTGACGTCTATCTGGAACACAGAAAAACAGGATTTGTTGAAACGTGTCGCCTACGCCGCTGGACTTTAAACACAGATTATGTGGAAATTGGATTAGTGCTGTGTCGCGTGGATGTAAAAGGATACAGAATTCGATACGGCCGAAATGCATCGAGTTACCCTCTCCATCCAAGACCCTCGTTACAAATTAATTTAAAAAGAAAAACATTTCACTTACAATATTAATCAGTTTTGGACTCATAATGATTTAAATTCATAATTAACAATTGTCACAGGATATATACAATTTTTTTAATTACAATTTATTAATTTTTCAATATTATATTTGAGATTTGTACAAAAAGAGAAACATAAAATGATGTTGCGATATCGGTCCAATCAAAGCAAATGCTTTGGAAATTTAACTTTTTTCTTCTTATATAATGATTATACGTACCATTATAAGTACCATTTAATATTTAGAATCTTCATTTCAAGAAAAAAATGTTCAAAAAAGTTGGTGACCGTTGCTCTATGGTTTAGAGCAACGGTCACGTATTTTTTTATATATATGTTTTTCTTTTTTGTCTATATAAAAAAACAAAAATTTGGTAATTCGACAT